TGCTGAACTGGAAGCGCTGGTGCACGAGGAAGCTCAGCGTGAACTCCAGGCCCGAGAACAGGAAGAGATACAGGAAGTAGACGAGGCCCAGCAGGCGCAGACTGCCCAGCCCTGCGGAGCAGCGGAAAGGCACGTCAGCGGAAAGGGGGCCCGACGGCAGCTGCGGGGGGCGCTGGGCAGCCCGACGGAGCCACAGCCCCGCCCTCACGAGGGGGGCCTGCTCCTTACTGACTCCAGTGGGCGGGTTCGGGCCACGTGCCACGGCTGAGAAGCAGAGCAGGGCCAGGGGGCTGAGCAGGTCAACAGCAGCTCGGAACCCCAGCGTGATGGACGGTGCCTGGAAGGGACAGGATCGAGGAGCCTGCGACGAGGCTGGTGGTGTCCCAGGTCTCGCAGCCTAGGGGTGGGCTTGACCCGAACCTGCTTGACCCCTGCCCCCTGTCCACCTGCCAGGCTTTGGAGGTGTAGGGGATCTGGGGAACGCAGGAGCCCCAGGAGGCGCTGTGGTCCCAAGAGCGTCTGGACACCAGGAGCGGGTGGCCCGGCCTCCCCAGCACCTGGGCCTGCGACGGGCCTCCCCGCAGGCCCCGGAAGCGAGCCCCCATGCCTGTCTGGCTCCCACCTTACCCGCTTCTCTGGGGGCAGCGTCTCCGGCAGGAAGCAGGAGATGAACAGCAGATCGGAGACCGCGAAGAGCAGGGCCAACCAGGGCGCCGTCTCCACAGGCAGGGAAGCGCCGAGCATGGGGCCCAGCGTGAAGGCCAAAGAGAAGGCCACCCCGATGACTGCCTGGGGAGAAGCCTGCCTGAGCCAGGCAGGGAGACCCAGGCCCCGGAGGCCCTCCACCTGCTAAGCCCCCCGGAGTGCACTCACCATGCCCCTGCTGCGGGCGGGAGACGAGCCCAGGTCGGCGACAATGGCGGTGGAGAGGCTGACATTCCCCTTGCTGATGCCCCCAATCATCCTGGAGGCCAGGAAGGCCATAAAGCTCTTCGAAGTGGCCCACACGGCATACGAGGTGGCCAGGCCTGCCTGCCTCAGGGCGGGGACCAAGGGCAGGCACGGTCACTTGAGGCCAGGAGGGGCCCACAGCAGGGCCAGCGAGCACGAGCAGTGCCCTGGAGCACCCAAGGGCCACTTGTGTTCCCAGCGTCCCTGTGGCAGAAGCAGCTCTGGCACAGCCTCGCCTACAGCCACAGAAGCCACGGCCCCCCCAAACACCACCCCCGAGGGCCAACGAGGGGCCGTGGGGGGCCCACAGCTGCCTCCCCAGACGGAAAGAGGCTCCCGTCTGTGGGCACCCGTACCAGGGACAGTAGCATCATCGGGCGCCTCCCCAGGCAGTCAGAGACGGCGCCCGTGAGGGGCGCTGAGAGGAACTGCAGGGAGGAGAAGATGGAGCCAATCAGACCTGGAAGAGACGGAGGCCACAGCCACCTCACTGCCCGCCCCAGGGGCCGGAGCGGGCCACGGACCTCGAGCTGAGACGGCCCCCAAACCCCCACTTGCAGAAAGAACAGGCAGTGCCCAGGAGCGAGAATATGCGGACCAGGACCTGGGACTGAGGAGGCGGGAACCAAGAAGGCAGGACCCGAATGGGCCCCCAGCCCCGGCTCAAGAACGTACCTCCAAACAGGACGCTGTTGTACCTCTTCTCGGCTGGCATCCCAATGGCTGCAGCAAACCAGTCCACCCCGCGCTGCCACGAGCCATAAAGAGGATCCTAGGGAACAAGGAAGTGTGACGGGCTGCGGAGTCCCTGAGGGGCTTGGAGCAATGGACAGCCGTCGGGGGTGAGGCAGCATCGGGAGCGGGGGTGCTCACCTGCGCTCGGCCGTGGCTCTCCAGCAGCGCAGGTAGCAGAGGCAGCAGCAAGGTGAAGGCCAGGAGGTCCAGCAGGAGGCCGAGGAACACCACAACGACCACTCGGGTTTCGGGTGCCGGCTGCTGGTGGATGGGCGGGCGCGGGGTGCAGCTCCCGCCGGCTCCCCAGACCATGATGGGGGCCGCTCCGATCCGGCCTGGCTGAGCGTGTGGCGGGTCTGCAAGACGGCACGTCGCACGAGGGCACGTTTGGGTACCCCAGCTCCCGCCGTGCCCCAAACCCGCCAAGAGCCAGCGAGCGCCTAAAGGGTCTGCCTGCCCCGTGACCCAACACAGGAGTCCCTCTGTGCACCCTGCCCCCCGACCCTGGGCAGCAGGAAACGCAGGCTGCGGGGGTTACGCAAAGAAACCGCAGCCCCGGAGGCCAACCGTCCCAGGGGCCGGGGTGGGGCATCGCGGCCCCGGTACCTCCCCTCCCCCGCCGCCACCCCACGGTCCCGAGCGGAGCGGCCGGGAAAACTGAGGCCCGGGCGGGCGGCGGGGTCGGCCCCGCGAGCCGGAGAACAAGACACCCGCCCGCCCCTGGTCGCGCGCCCCGCCCCGCCCCGCCCCGCGCCGCACCTGCGAAGTCCGCGCTCCGCACAGACAAACGGACAGACGGAAGGAGGCGGAATGGACCTGCGGGCGGGCGGCGCACGCCGACCACGCCACGCTCGCCCGGAAGTGGGCGGCCCTGCGCGCCCTCTTCCGGCCGCTGGGCGGGGCCTTGTCTGGTACTCCAAGGTTGCGCGACTCGGCCCGATATCGGGTCCAGCAGCGGCTTACCGGCGGGAAAGGATCCAACCGGAGGCGCCTGACAGGCCACAGTCCCATTTGCCCCCGGACTCTGCGCCCGAGTGACGACCCGCCCGCTGAGGACCTCGGGGTCTTGGGCGCTCCGTCCGGAGGGCCGTTGGGCGGGGTCCACCCTGACCGGACCCTCATCGTATCGTCCACTCCCGTCGGAGGCCTCCGTCCAAAATACGCCCGCAGATACGCGGCGTCTGTGTGGGGGCGCGGGTTCGCCCACCCTGGGGCCTAGGCCGGGCCGGCAGGGGGAGGGGGCGTGAGGTCAGGACTTTCCGGTGCCCCGCCTGCCCCGGGGTCAGCGGGGAGGAGCAGGTGCCCCCAGGGCGCGCTCGGTCCTGGGACCGCGCCGGGGGAGACCTCACGGCAGCTGGAGGTTGTGGACTTCAGGACCTGCCAGCACCTCCTGCTTCTCTTCCGTCCCTTGAAATTCAGGCGTCTGTGGCCGAACTATCCGGAAGGACAGTGCACCCCGTCAGCTCAGCACTCATACACCTCTCCGAAAACGACACTAAGTTTCAAACATCCAAGCAGTCACACTTTGCCTAACATATAATTGTTCCACCTACGACCAAAGAGGACACGTGTTAGCTCTCCCTGAGGAGGACACGCGTTCCTTTATGGAGGCTCGGGGGATGCTCGCCTCTTCCACCTGAGCCGTGCTACCCCCCTTAGAAGCCTGCCCGTGACACAGCGGAGGTAAGAGCTGGTGGGCGCGCGGCAGAGGGGAGGAAGAGCTGGGCAATATGTCGGCAAATGTACTTACATGGAAACACTCTGGCTTCATAACCACCTTCCTCCGCGACCTCTTCTACACACGCCCCTTTGCAAGGAGTAGGAGGCAGGGCTGGGACGGGCCATCCACGTGGATACTGACATTTCCAAGGACTGTGCCTACAGTGGGGTGGAGAGGCCAGGGCGGGCAGAAGTGGGTATGCTCGGGCGACCCAGGACCCAAAGCTGGGGCTTTATCAGCTTGTTGCTGGCACGTTCCACCGCCACAGAACTCAGCAGCAGGCCCCCCGGGACCAGCGGTTTGGCGAATTTAAGTAGCAGCAGCTGCAGGAGAGTTTACGTGTGGGTGGAGTCTTGAGTCTGCACGATGTTAACATTAGGGCAGGCCTACACAGCGAGGTGCAGCCAGCCCCGTTTGTGGCCCCGACACCTGCCAGGGCCTTCGAGATCCGTGGAGCCACGCACCTGGCAAACACCTATCTCTGAACAATCCTAGAAAGAAGGTAAAGATGCAGAAATCTCATCCAACGTGGCCTCTTCATCTGTCCCTTCCGCCTGCCACCAGGGGGCGCTCTGGCCCTGTCCCCCCGCCCTTCTGAGCCCCAACTCTGCCTAACAGCGCCCCAAATCAAACTCCCGATTCTCCCCACCAGCCTCCCTGTTGAGGGAGCCAGAATCAGTCACCCTCTTCCCACATGTCCAGTCTGGCTAATCCTCCAATCTTTCCATGGTCACTTCTGTGGCTGTGACCTCAGGGATGGGCTTCATTTTCTAAAATTTCTGGCTCTGTTGGCTCTTCGTTGCTGCGCGGGCTCTCTCTAGTTGCAGCGAGCGGGGGCTACTCCTTGTTGCAGTGCACGCACTTCTCATCGCCGTGGCTTCTCTTGCTGCGGCACACAGGCTCTAGGCGTGCAGGCTTCAGTAGTTGTGGCTCGAGGTCCCTAGAGTGCAGGCTCAGCAGTTGTGGCGCACAGGCTTAGCTGCTCCGCGGCATGTGGCATCTTCCCGGACCAGGGCTCGAACCCGTGTCCCCTGCATTGGCAGGTGGATTCTTAACCACTGTGCCACCAGGGAAATCCCAAGGATGGGTTTCTTGACACTCCACCCGGCAGGGCTGCTAGCCGAGGGCGAGGCCTCCAGCATGTGCTGCGTGGTCACCTGGGGTGTGAGGACCAGTGCCTCACCCTCGGAGACTGGGGCGGGGCATGGGGGCTGGGGGACCTGCCCACCTCTGCACCCCTGCAGGGAGGCAGCATTCTGTGCAAGGCCGTAGCCCCCCAGGGCCGCGAGGGCGGGCTGGTGGCTTCTGTGTCCTTATGAAGCCTCCTGGGTCAATGCAGATGCAGCCCAACCCCTCCTGCATTCACAGCGGCCTGGCACTCCAAAGCATTAATCAAGACTGGGTATGGATTAGGGCAAAGCCGATCGTGGCTGCTGGGCTAACGCGATTATGGGTGATTTCTTTCTTTTCTGATTTCTAAACTATGTGCAAACTTGTTTCACTGATGACTGAAAACTTACGTAACATTAACACTGAATTCTACACCTGAAGGCAAATATGCTCGGTTGACCAAAAACATTAGCCTGAATCCCATCAGTCCCAAGCCTTGTGATTAACTGAGGACTGTCTGGAAGTGACGAATAGAGGTGATTTACAGTCTATCGGCATGTAGCTCCCACGGAGGCTTGGCCCTGCTCCCAGAGTGCAATATGTCAGGAGAGGCGTTTTCACATGGAGCGAAGCACAGAAGAACACCCGCCGTCACAGCGCCCCTTACGGCGTTCATCACATAGCACCTCCTTGTCTGATTTATAAAAACAATTTATTTTTTGCACTTCCTCCTCTTCAGAGCCTTCCATTCACCTTCCTGTGTGGCCAGGCTGTTAAAAAGCTGCTTAACTTTTCGTTTTCTTTCCGCGTCCCTTTAAAAAAAAAAAAAAAAAAAAAAAAAAAAAAAGCCCATTTTTGGAGGACATCTTGCCCTTTTTCCTATCTGACCCAATAGCAGTTCACATCCGCGTGGGGCCTGCAACTCCGCCCAGGACAGATGGAGGACAAGTGAGGGGAGCAGGCCGCCTAGCCCGCCCCCACCCCGGCCCAGCACCCACACCAGCACCTGCCGGACCCCGTCGCCCCTCACCGTTCCATGATCTCTGAGAGCTGCATCCGAGCCAGGAACTGGTTGTCCTTGCGGATCTCCCGGACGGCACCTTTAAATTCTCGCTTGTGCTTGTGGATCAGTCTCTTCCTTTCCTGCTCCTCCTTTGTGCAGCCCTGCTTCTTCCCAAACTCGAGGCTGAAGGTGCAAAGCCGGCCTTGAGGGCGCAGGGTCTGCGCACCCAGAGCCTGCCAGGCCTCTGGTCAAGGCCGCCCCCAGCCACAGCCCCGGACTCCCCAGACCCCTCTGGGGCTGGGATGCTGGGGGGCCCTCCGTACTCACACTTTGACCAGCCTGGGGGTGAACAGTTTCAGCGGCACCGGCTTGCTCTTCTCACAGACCAGCGGCCGACAGTGCTTCGGCTGCTTTTCCATTTCCGTCAAAATGCTCCGACTCAGCTCCTGACACGTGAGAAAAGCTGACACCGCCGGGCCTGCCCACCGTGGCCTCCGGAGCTCTTCCCCTGGGCCCGGCGGCTGCAGGTGCAGAGCCACTGTGCCCAGAAGGCCCGGCTCTCACGAAGCTTCCACCTTCCTGCAGCGTCCTCATGGCGTCTGGCCTGGTAGAACTTCAGACCCACAGACCCATCGAGCAACAGAACGGTCTCTCCCAGAGGAAAGTGGGGAGCCCACGATAGGGACCAGACCATTTGTACACAGGGGAGCCCTCAGGCCAAAAGGCAGGCGCCCCTCATGGCTTCCTGTCGCCTGGTGCAGGGCAGTGGGACCATCCTCAGAACCCCAGTGACCTGGGTGGGGCGCGGGGCCTGGAGCCGCTGGCCAGGCTGATGGGGGCGGCCGGCCTTGATTCCTAGCGCCGGAACCCCCGTGACAAACGCCCACCAGCCTGCCCCAACTCCGGGACACGGCCACACCAGGGGAGGCCTCACCTGGAGCTCGGGCGGGCAGCTGCGGGCAGACAAGTGCTCCATCAGGAGGGCTCGCAGGGGCTGCACGATGTCGTGGAAGGAGGGCAGGGCACCATAGGCAGTCACACAGCGCTGCACCAGAGCCAGACACACGGCCAGGCAGGACAGCCTGCAGGAGTGACACCCGGCCTCAGGCCAACAGGAAGGAAGGGCCCCTCCCCGTCACCAACAAAGCCCATCATCTTGGCAAAGATGAAAACCTTCCACTCGTGGGCCTGGGCCGCAGGACCCTGAGGTCAAACATCTGCTCTGGGCAACGGCTGCAGCAGTGCTGCAGCCGATGGCTGATGGGATCAGGAGTTAAAGAAAACATCCTGCTTCCCTGAATAGGAAAGAACGTTGCGGGAAATGCAGCAACAACTTGGAAAGAGTACTCGGTGTTTTTTGTTTTTTTTTAAACAGAAGAAAATCAAAGTTTAGTAACATACATTTCTTGGGAGAGACCCAAGAAAACTGACTCACTACAATGGCTGGAGCCATCTTAAATAAACCCCGTTGTAGTTTTT